TTAACTCTTTGACCACCGGTCAAACCAATTTAGACTTTCACCAAAGTCAAACCACTTAACATTTATTGCCTATGACGGAGATAGCCTCAATCCGTAATACCGAAGATGGCCTCAATTCGGTGGAGGTAGGATCCCTCGGGCGATGGCCTCAAACCCAAGATCGCAGACCCTCGTGCGCACGTCTTAACCTCACTGACCACGCCCTGCAGCCGCTCGAGCGATGGCCAGTTTCTATGTTCAACACAATAAACCAATTGACCTTAAACACCGAATAGAATTAATTAATTAACTTAACTAATTCATTAAAGTCTTAGATTTAACCATTCTGTCAAACCTACGTCGACAGAATATCCAGTCAAAGTCGAAGTCAAACATGACCTAACCCAAGTCAAAGTCAAACATGTTCAGTCAATTCACAATCCTCAACAATTCAATTCAAACAATCAATTTAATTCAATTAACCAATTTAGCCAAATTATAGCATAAACATATATAACGATCCAAATCATTAAATCTATTCTGAATGCTATTAACTTCATAGTACGGACCTGGATTACGCCGAAATCGAATCGATAGCTCGAACGGAAGACAAATCAACGAAATCAACCGAACGGGTCAAATCGAGTCAAAATACGAAATCGACCAATCAATCCGGCGTGGAGGTTAATCTGCCGGCGATATCAACTCGGGGTAGTGGCCGGATGCGGCGACGGTGACGGACGCCAGCGACAGTGGCGGAGCGGCAGCTCGACGGCGATGAGCAGCGACTGGCGGCGCAGCAATCGACGGTGGCGGACGACCGACGAAGGCGGAACAGCGGCATTCGGCGTTTGGCGACGTCCTCCGTTTGGCGTGGCGGCGCTGCACCCGTCGGCGATGATGGCGGCGGCTACTGGCGAAGGAAGTAGCGGCGGCGACCGGCTGGGGAAGGGCGACGGCGGCGGCTGGCTGCTCCAATAGGACGGCGACGACCGGCTGGGGAAGGCGACGCTGGGCAGCGACTGATGGCGGCGAGGCTCTGGCTTGCGCGACGCCGGCGTGGTCGAACGGCAGGGATGACCGGCGCTGGCTGCTGCAATTGGACTGTAACACCCCAACCCGCATGACCCAAACCCGTGAGACAGCGGACCGGTGTGCCACTGAATTGGTATCCGAATTTGCGACATTTTCAAAACAATTTTAAACAAACGTTCTATCAATACATATAAAAATCCATCGGAGTAATTTAAAATAATGCGGAAGCCTTTTTAAAGTCAAACAACTTGGGATCTTGCCCGAAAAC